TAGAAACTTAGTGTTTAATCTAAAAAACGGATTATATCCTTAAACTTAAGGTTTCTTTGGTAAAGAAAGCCAAAGATAATAGATATAGCCACCAATTTCCATAGAGATCGAGCAAAGATCTGTACCAATCTATAAGCTAAAATAGATACAGTATCCTTTGGTCGATACAGCGCTCCCTATGATCGCTTCTTCTCCTCCAATTTTTGGGATACCTGCCGAGACGGCAGCAGTTGGTTCTACTCTGCATTCTTCTCGGTTTTTGTCTGGATCGAAGATCTAACAAAAAGGGAATTCATTTGAGGGGTGCATTTGACAGCAGCAGAGAAGGCTGCTTTCCTTTACTTCTACTTCCCATCATATCCGTATCCGGAACCGCCATCATCCCTTCGCAGCGTCCTTATGCGCATACGCTAATCAAATATCATCGAGAGAGAAATACCCGCCAAAAATCAACATATGCGGTCGAGGATATTGCGCAGGATCGTTGGATCGAAGGGAAACGGCATTCCGTTAGGAAAACCATATTTGATTGTACTAGTTGTGTTGTGTGTTGGCCAAATGTTTGCCTCTTTTCATCGGGGGTTTCAGCTTACACAGTTTTTCCAAAGCAGTTTTTTCCCGCCTGGAAAACTGGAAAAACTCCCTCATATTTCGCAGATAGAAACAGGACATTTGGCAAGTCATAGAGAGAGGACCTCGCCCACAGCATGTGTCTTTGTGTGTTCATGGTCAAAAGGAGAGTTCGAGTTCCAGTTATCATCCTACCTGAGCCCCGAGCGCCTGCCTATTGGCGTTGCTTGCTTCATTGTTCTGATCCTTCCTCGTCCTTTCCTTGGGCCATAAACTCCTATAATTTATTGTCTACAGCTGCATAGAGAATATCTTCGGGAATAATTGAAACTGATTTTTGATGGAAGAAATAGTCTATGGAGTCGTGATGATGATGTGGTAAGAAGAGCAGGTATCCTATCCGATCCATTCAATGCACCTGTAATAATGCACCCCTAGTTTGAGAATCCTTTCTATAGCCCGGTGAGAGAGTCCCTTCAATTCTATTCCTTTTTTTGATTTTTCCCACTTCAAATCTGTGATTTTTTGGGGGTATCTAAGCCGCTTAAGGCTGCTGCTATTATGTTCCAAGTGTATATTCTGATAAATTGGGGAGTAGTTTCAAAGTTGAACACCATATTTAGCTAAGAGAAACCCTTCGAAATCCTTACTTGACTTGGTCCTCTATAAGTAGCTTAATTTATAAATTATCGTACTTTAAGACATCCCCCAAAATGCATTTAAAACTACTTATAGCTTAAGGAGCCCGTTAATATTTTAAAACATCGTGTGGTTGAAGTGAAATTCTTAGGGGACCTTAGAAAAAGAGCTTTATCTTTTTTTTTAAAATGTGTCTATAAATTTATGGGCTAAAAGTATTTAACAATGGTAATAATACAACGATTTTGACTTTCGAACCATAAATTAAAGCCCGGCTTGAGAAAATATCATATCCGTACTCGTGGCAAAACTATCGTCACAGCCACACACCGGCAAAGTGTCATCCGCAAGGGCGAAACAGCTGTTCACCTGCCATGTGTCTGCCTGTGTGTGTGAGGTGGTGTTGGGAATTGAATGGGAAGGTCACAAACCTTATTGGAATGTCCCCAAAGTCTTTAATTTCATGATTTGGGTTGATTGGACTCACCTATTTTACTAGCCGACTGACCCATTGCTTACTATGATCACACAACTTTTGTATATTTTCGATTTTATGTCCAAAAAGGCACAAAATGACAATAAAAACAACAGCAACGACACATTTACAACTTCTTTGGCATCGAATTTTCAGGTGGCCGTGAGCCCTTGCATCTTTCCAACACGCACTTTTTTAAATCGATCACTAGAGCAGGGGGAGGAGCACATTATACGAACTATTAAGATTAGTTTTAAAACATTTTAAAGCCTTAATTGGAGTTTGGAGGGACCTGCCGGTGTTTGTAGTGTGACCGCGGACTTATCGATAAAATATACTGACTCTCAGCAATATACCGAAATATGCCTTGTGTGTGTTTTGAGGTGGTGCAAAACTAAGGCATCCCTGGTTGAACAAAAATACCAAAACGTATGCGTCGTTCATTTTAGCATACTGTTTTAGGGTTGTTTATACAATGAAATTAATGAAAGCAATGCAAATCTACAAGACCCATTAATGCATTAATCCATTCTCAAGGTGTTAACCTATTTGAATAGAAAGGGGCTACTTGGGTTAAGGTGCGTTTGGTTTCCTCGGTATAATTACGGTATATTTAGAACAAGAAAGTATATTCTGGTATATTTCTGCTGGTCAGTCGGTATATTTTTAATGGGAAAATCCGAGGTCCGACTGCCTTCCATAAAAAAATAAGCGAAAAATGTGTCATAAAACGTAGTTTTCACGTGTAAATAAACTATTTTTTATGTGGTTTGATTCCCCAAAAGCCTCGGGCACCACAAAGTTTTGGAATACAGATTTCACCTGCAGCTGGAGATAAGAAAATAGCAGGGGAAAAATGGCGGACCCCTTGAGCCTCTTGCGGCAGTACAACATAAACAAAAAGGAAATCATCGAACGGGAAAATCAAATCATATTCGGTGAATTCTCCTGGCCCAAGAGTGTGAAAACAAACTACCTCAAATATGGGTAAGTCGCTGCGTAAATTCTCCACCCAAAAAGTGCAATATGCCAACAATGCAAATTTTTCTGCTCGCCTTTTATTGCAGGTCGGGTAAGAAGGGCGCTCCACGTGAATACTACACGTTGGAGTGTCTACTGTATTTGCTGAAAAATGTTATGCTCCAGCACTCGGTGTATGTGCGTCAGTGTGCCGCCGAGGATATACCCGCTGTGAACCGGCCGGATCGTAAGGAACTCTTGGCCTACCTCAATGGCGAGACCCCCACATGTGCCAGCATCGACAAGAGTGCTCCGTTGGAGATACCCACGCAGGTGAAACGGACGGCGGATGGCGAGGCCACCAGCGGAGAGACGGCGGCCAAGAAGGCGCGCTTCGAGGAGACGCAAGTGCAGAAGGTGCGCGAGCAGCTGGCCGCCCGGTGGGATGTCAGTCAAAAGGAGACTGCCGTGAATATGGACAACATCAAGTCGCTGTCGGAGACCATGTCCGTGGAGAAGATTGCAGCCATCAAGGCGAAGCGTTTGGCCAACAAAAGGACCACCATCAAGCGGACGGACAACGATGAGGCCATGGGCACAGATCTGCGTGCCATTCTCGACTACGATGTGGACTCCACCAAGGATATCATTAGCAGGGAAAGGCAATGGCGAACACGCACCTCCATTCTGCAGAGCACGGGAAAAGTGTTTGCCAAAAATATATTCGCCATGCTGCAGGGCATCAAGGCACGCGAGGAGGGACGCAATCGTCCGCAGGCGCCGAATCCCATCAAGATGCCGGAGCCCGCAAGGATATCCAAGCCACAGCCGCAGCTCTCCCAATACAATCGTTACGATCAGGAACGCTTCAACAGGCAAAAGGAGGAAACAGAAGGCTTCAAAATCGACACACTGGGTACCTATCATGGCATGTCGCTCAAATCCGTGACGGAGGGCTCTTTGGCGCAGCGCAAGGCACAGGGCGGACCGGGCATGCCCGGCGCAGGACCAGCAGGCGCAGCGGCGGCAGCCATCAATCGGCCAAAGGAACTGCTGCCCACAGCACAGGCGAGGCAGCTGCCCGCCAATGGGCCACAGAAGCGGCCATCGCGGACACCCATCATCATTATACCTGCGGCCAACACAAGCCTTATAACCATGATCAATGTGAAGGATATACTGCAGGAGCTGCGCTACATGTCCAATGCGGAAAAGAAATTGCAGGGCTGCCCGCGTGATAGCGAGGTTCTGCTGCAGGTGCGACGATCTCTTCTTCTGTATAATTAATTGTACTAATTTGTGCAACACTTTTGTCGGACTTTTAGCGAAAACGAAACAATCAGACCGTGTCGTATCGCGTGATTGATAATCCCCTCAAGCTATCACAACAGGACTGGCAGCGAGTGGTGGCCGTATTTGTGATGGGCCCGCAATGGCAGTTCAAAGGCTGGCCCTGGGATGGCAATCCCGTGGAGATATTCTCAAAGAGTATGTCCTCCTCCTTAGATGGGAACAACTAATCATTGTCAATCATTTGCCTTGCAGTTTGCGCCTTTCACTTGTGCTTTAGCGAACTGAAACTGGACGCCAATGTAGAGCGTTGGTCGGTAACGCTGCTGCGGTTATCCCAAAACAAACGGCATCTGGATCGTGCGGTGCTCAGCAAATTCTGGGAAACACTTGACAAGTAAGCAACACCTCTAAGGTCTCTAAATATTTATTGTTAATGTATACAAATTTGTACTCCTCTTTTCTAGATATATGGCCAAATATAAGCCCGATTTAAGGTTTTAACCCCCATATAACTATTGTGTTTTTTAATCTTTACTGCAATGATACGAGTACGTAGATTTAGATCTTTGAGACCCAGCCCCCACTCTGTTTGTAATTAGCAATTGCACATTTTACACACATCAATTTATATCCAGAATCGTTAGATTCTCTCTCTCTCTCTCTTTGTTCACTTCCTTTAGAAGACAGGCTTGGAATTACTACATTACGCTGATAGACCATGCCCGAGCGGACCTTAGCAGTTAAGAACAACCTTTTGTAGTTCATGTAAAATGTAAGCAAAAACAGCAGAAATCAAGTAAATTGTATACATAAATTAGTGATAATAAAAAGTTATAAGAATATTAATACTGTTGTCGGTGCAATGGGAATTAACTGCGTGGCAAACCTGGAAACTTGCAGTCACACTTTTAAATTTCTGCATTCCGCAGGTATTCTCGATTTAGATGTCCGATAAAGTAATCGAACATATGTTTCAATGAAGCCCTGGCTTCTATTATTCCACTACCAGCACTTAAAGTACCAGTGTTGCCCACCAACCAAAACTTGTAATCATCAAATCAAATATTTGTAAATTCTTGGTTATATTTTGTTTTGCGTTATATGTAGAAACAAATGTGGCACCAAGGGTCGCCAGTTAGAGAGGTTAGCGGCTTGTCAGTTAGTCTATAAATCTATTAAATGTTAGCGATTTAAATAAGAAAATACTATTTCAGAACCTAAGTTCTATAGAACTCCTGTTGTGGGAAAGAGCATCACACCAGGCGACTGGCTGCCTGCGTCTTGGCCGCCTTGAGGGTGTTGTACATCAGCATAGTGACGGTCATGGGCCCAACGCCACCGGGCACTGGGGTAATGTGTCCAGCAACTTGGCGAACCTCTGCGCATGAAAAGAAAGTACAAAGATTAGACAATTTCCATGGAGGAATGTCTGGGCGCACTCACCCTCAAAGTCGACGTCGCCCACCAGCTTTCTCTTGCCCGTTTTCTCATCCGTAATTTCAGTGATGCCCACATCGATGACACAGGCGCCCGGCTTAACCATGTCCTTGGTGATGAGTCCAGGCTTGCCGACAGCAACCACAATGATGTCCGCCTGGCGACAGTGCCTCGCCAGCTCCTTGGGCGGCGTATACCTGTGACAGATGGTCACCGTGGCATCCAACGCCTTGGTGGCATTCTTGCCATCCGAATGCATGAGAATGGCCAACGGCAGGCTGACATTCTTGGAGCGACCCACCACAACGGCATTTCGGCCGTGCGTCGCTATGTTGGAGTGCTCCAGGAGTGCCTTTACGCCCAGCGGTGTGGCCGGCACAAAGCCCTCCATGTCGAGGGCCAGACGACCCATATTGATCTCATTGAAGCCATCAACATCCTTCTCGGGCGCCACAGCATTGCAAATGGTGCGCTCGTCAATGTGCTCTGGCACCGGTAGCTGGACAAGCACTCCCGACACATTGTCATCCCCGTTCAGTTGCCCGATCAGCTGCAGCAGCTCGTCTTGGGTGGTGTTGGCGGGCAGCCATTTGGTTTCACTGGAAATGCCCACCTCCTTGCAGGCCACCATTTTGTGCCTCACATACCTCTGGCTGGCGGGATCCTCGCCAACAATCACAGCCGTCAAATGGGGTATGGGATTCCCAGCGCCCACGAACTCTGCCACTTCCTGGCGCAGCTTTGTGAGTTTCTCAGCGGAGATCAACTTGCCGTCGATAATTTGTGCCATGTTGCTGCAAGAAGCGGAAAGAAAAGCGGCTGGGTTAGGGAGGGTCATGCAGCAGGAATGTCGCCAGAGATAAGGCTGCGTGCTGGCTGTGCTCTACAGGGGAAAACCCCATGCAGTGTACAGTACAGTGTGTAATTCCCCTTGGGTGATTCACCTTGTTTATGAGGGTAAAATACATTGAATTCTGTGTACATCCCCCTTCTCGGCAATAATATTCTCAGATATGTATGCGTATAATGTACATGTGCTAGTTAAAACAATGATATCATCAATCTAGGCCCAGACCCGCCAAAAGTCACGTGAAATGGCGCCACAAAATATACTCGTAAAAATCATCACTTGCAGGGAAATATATTTTTTATTTTCTCATACAAACAAAATATATATTTTTCACTTATAGTCGTAAAGATTAGGAATATATCAACTTAACTGGTAATTTATTGATCAAATATACATATTTTAATATGTATTTTCTCTGTAAGGCATTCAATTCTAGTCCTGATTAAGAAGTGCCGCTGCATCCGGATCGATCATCTCGAGGGCCAGTGCAAAGGTGCTGTACTCCATGCACTTGGCATTGTTCTGTATGTAATCGAGCATGGCCCCGGCGTCCATCCAAAAGAAACTGAAACGTTCCATATGCGAAATGCGAGCCAAGTGCTTCCATTTGGGCTGCTGGGCATCCGGTCCGCTGCCAATCGGTTCGTTTAGCAGAGTCTTTAGCTTCTGGAATCGCTGCTTGTTGCTTAACAAAAGCTGCAGATTGTATCTGGGATTAGTGCTTGTCTCCACTTCCGTCTCGTTGCCAACCACTTCATGGCCGTCCAATTCCTTTTCGCAGCTGTCTTCTTCAGTTTCCGTTTTGATGTCCATCTCCTCGGTTTTGATCTCGAGCGCCGCCTCGCTGCTCTCATCGGAGGAAGTGTCTAGTTCCTCTTTGATTTTGTTGGGTATCCAGGTCATGGCCGCCGGGTCGTTCTTCTCCGAATACACCTTATCCAGCAGCTGTAACACCTGTTCATCGCCCTTCGAGCGAGCCAGCTCCAGCGGCGTATAGCCGGCTGCATTGCGTGCCATGAGTATGTCCGAAAGACTAGTGTCCTGAGCATCCACAATGAGCACAATCAGTGCATGGCTCTGCTCGAGCACCGCCATGTGCAGGGCATTGTTGCCGTCCTTTGTGTTTGCGATGCTAATGGAGCTGCGATCGTGATTGATCAGCTTCTTGGCCACATCGTACTTATTCTGCCGTATGGCCATATGCAGTGGCGTCAATCCATCGTCATTTTTGAGCGAAAGGTCGAGCCTAACGGTGGGCGCTCCATTGCCACTGCCAGTGCCACCCTTTAGGAAGCTATCGATGCAGGACATTCGCTCCTCCTTCACAGCCAAATGCAGTGGCGTATTTCCCGCATGATTCTGCTGATTCGGACTACATCCAAGGCTCAGCAGTGGACGGATATAGTAGGCGCGATCATGCTGGCAGGCCACGTGTAGCGCACTATCCCCATCCGCATTGAGTGCGTTGTTCGCCAGATCGTGCAGCTTAAAGTATTTCATCACCTCGATGGTTCGGATGGCCTGCGTCAGCTGTCCTTCCGTGCGCTGGCTGATGATCACCTCATGCAGCAGCGTGTCATTGTTGTCGTTCCGCAGGGCGTGTTCCGTGAACATCTCCTCCACCTGTTTTCGCGACGTGTCATTTGGCGCCCGTCGATGCCCCTCGTAGATCTTGAAGATGGCACTCAAAAAGTGCGGGGTCCAATTGCGGTTGGGTGCTGCCGTTGGGGGAGGCGGTCGCTCCGCTGCCCGGCCGTGGCCATCTTCCACCAGCGTGCCAACCGGACTGTACAAATTTACCATATCGCACATTTCCTGGACCACTTGGGGACTTGTCTCGATCTTCTGGTAAAATTCTTTCGATGGCATGGATGGCATCAGGTCCTGGATAAAAATGTCCTTGGGAAACTCCTGGCTAATGGTCTGTTCGTGGTAAATGTAGGACCCTTCCCCCATGGGCATTTGCTGTCCCTGTGGCACTGCCTGCGGCTGGGCCAGAGCCAGGGTCTTGGGCAGATCCAGCGAGTTTTGGGCACTGCTGCCCGAACTGCTGTTGGTGGCCATCGAACATGTGCGCCGGCGTTTTCGCGAGACGATGGCGTCGCGCGGCTTATACCGGAACGGCAGGGGCGGGAAGGAGCGCTCATCGTCTGAGGGTCGTATCAGCTCAATGGAGACATTCACCTCCCTGTCCACCTCCTTGTCCTTGTAGGGTGGCGTCTGGCACACGATGGCATACTGATGGTGGACATCCGATTCACGGAACTTGGCATACGCCTCCCACACGGTCTCCCCATCATCGTCCTCCTCAAAGAAGCGCACCTTGATGTTCTTCTTGCTGACCTTCTCCACGAGAAGGATGAGTTCATCGTTGCCCACCACAGAGCCCGTGGGTTTGCTCAGCCGCACAATGCGCAGCTCTCCCGTTTGCGCCGACTTGCGATTGTTGATCGCATTGCTGAAGACGGGTGTGGCAATGGGCACCCAATTGCCATTGTCCTCAATCTTGTAGGCCTCAAAGCAGAGACGCACCTGGAAACGTACCAAAGTACGACGAAAAGTAAGTATCGAACGAAGAACGAGTCTTTCCTTTGTGCTTTTGGGGCTCTACCATACCTGATTCAGATTCATATCCTTGGCCTCGCGCTCTGTCTCCTGGTGCAGCTTCTGCACCTCCTTGGTGGACAACTCGCGACGCTTCATCTCGAACACCAGGCGATCCTGCTTCTTTTTGAAGAGCTCATCGAAAATATACTTCTTGGCCGTGTGTATGATGCCCATGTTGATGAACTGGGCCACATAGCCGCGGTCTTTGGACACATGCAGGTCGTGCGGGTCGCAAACATCGCGCTCATCCTTGCGCACCACCAACTGATGCGAATGCGGGCTGTCGAGGTTCGTCTGGAACAAGCTGCACCGTATCACCGCCGGTCCGTCGTAATTGCAGAGCGTCACCTCGGGAAACGTTTTCGGTGTGCGCTTCGAGTTGGCGCCGTTGAGCGAGCCATGTGTCCCGTGCATTTCGCTCTTGTATCGGAAGCGAAACTTTTCCACAGGTTGTTCCACGATGCGCAGGGCAGCGGGCATGTGCCCGAGCTCAGTTTTGGACACCACACCATTGCTTCGATGGTATCCAAAGTTCTGTGCTCTTGCGTCCACGGACTGGGCGTAGTATTGGTGATCCGGATCCATATAAATGTTTCCAAAACTCGTGTCGTCGGTATTAAACAGCTGGTATGGTGAACTCTGCATTGTCTGAGGTGAGTTCGCTGGTGGTAGAATCAGATTTGCAAAATCAGTTTGAAGCGCCGTTTCGGGGGAATGTGCTGGCGACATTGCGGATGTTGTCGAATTTCCGCTGCTATATCCACTGGAGGTATCGTTCATGTACGGAACATTCTTGCCCTTGTCCAAATCGAAAATATGGCTCATTTTACTTAATGATACCAATCACACACATATACATATACACATGTATCTATTTTATCTATTTGTTTTTGAAATTGCGTCGCGGGTAAAAAGATCTCGACCGTGGCGCTGGAGCAACAAAACGTAAATGAATCCGTGAATGGTTGGCTTTTCGTAACGATGTCGAATGCTCCTCCTCCGTTCGGTTTAGGTACTTCCCCGACGTTGATTGGGCGCTCGGGCGGGGAAATTATCGGTCAGAGAGAGAGAGAGAGGCACGGCGGCCACGTCAGGTGACTCATGGGTTTTTTAGCAGCACCGTGTGGTTTTGTTGTTCGTGGAAGTTTCAATTCGAATCAATTGTTTACATGAAGAAATCACACTATCAACGTATTCAAATTCGCTCACACACGCGCACACACTTGCACAAATTGATAATATATACAGTAATAAGTATATTTTTATTCTAGGGAAATATATAAGGGAATTGAAACGCGAACGGCGTGGAGAACCGCAGAGTTCGAGTCGCAGCAACTGCACAAATGAGCGTGGAGTAATACGAACAAGAGTAAAAACAAGTAATCTGGCTCTCCGCCCCATTCGGCAGATAACAGGTTTAAGTTGCGGGCGCAGAGCTTTTTGGCAGGCGCAGCTTTTTATACGTAAAAAACGGAAATAACGACAGAAACGACACGAATATCGAATATTTACAGGCCCGACCTCATTTGAATATCTTATTCAACACACCTGCCAGAGCTGCCCTCTACTCTAGTCTGGTTGCAACTCGGCTGAACCAGCTGATCTGTTCGGGGTCTATTGTTTTTATTATTTTATTTTATCTTAACACACCTTCTTAATAATACTTTTGTTGCACATGTGCGCCCTTGCACAGCCAATGAGGTGACTACGCACTTAAGCATATTTTCACGTACGATTTAACACATAAAACAAGATAAAACGGGTATCGCACGTGAGCCGCAGGCGATAAACCGATAAATGATTTACTCGTGTATAAAAATAAATAAAAATAATTTGGATTTTATGACACTGTTTGCGCAGCCCTTGTTTCCATGTGTGAATCACGTTATCAGTGGATTGTTTATTTTTATAACCAATTAGCCAATTCCAGGCCCAGCTCTATGTCTGGGGGGTTACAGCATGCAAAGTTGAAAAATACTTGCCCAGACGTACAAAAATATATTTTTTGTTGCCTTCATCAGCAAATATGAAATCAATTTTGATTTGTTTTTCACTTGCACTGTACCTGTTGCACCTTTTGAGATTCTTTATTGTTTCCCTGCGGAAATATGTAAACTAAACTATTCGATTGCACCAGACGACTGAGTGCCACCGTATATGGGTATGAAATTCCCACACGTGTTGCTGACAGCAAACACACACACAAAAACAAAGTTTGGATACAAAGCTCGCCAGAGAGAGATGGAGCACGAAATAAAAACGATCGTTCCGTTTCACTCTACTCTGCACGTGCCGCAAAAAGTTAATGCACACCCCCCGGAGAATGTTGGAAAATGCAATTCCATAACTTTTTGCCCGAGCTATTTTCCGGCTAGTTGTTTTTCTCCGGCGAATGACGAAATTCGGAAGCACGATGGCCGCGATGCAGTCTGTCTGTGACGTCAATTCGATCTCTAGGGGATCGGATCGTCTGTCTTGGCCTGATAAGCCTTTGATGCAACAGAGTCATACGCCACAGCTATTGGGGGAGCGTGGGCACCTGGTAACTGGTGATCGGGCGATCTTCGCTTAGCTAAAGGAAAAGAGCATCACGGCATGCTCTCCGGCAAGCGTCATTAATAATGTTGTTCCCATGTAAAGATTGCGCCCCTGCGTTCGGTTTTGGGTGGAAAAACATGTTATTTTCGAAAAGCAGCCCCCGATAAGCATCGCAAAGGAAAGTGCGAGTGGGTAAGGCAGTGAATGGAAATAATGTCAGAAAACAGAAAACCAATTTTAAGCTTACCTTGTAAAGCGCATTTTGAGCGAATTTGTTGTTTTTTTTCTTTGAATTTGTTTGCAGGATGAAAAATAAGCTTATTAGGTTGTGTTATTGATCACTTGGTAATTAATTATTAATTAACTTGACTATTATTATTGATTATTAACTTGTGGCACTTCACTTGTAGCTTTTGAGCTTGAATATTTGAAAACTGCGGGCTGCTCTGGTTTTATATCGTTTTTTTAGCACACTTTTTGCGATGCCAAGGCATCGAAAAGTATCGTGAGCTAAAATGAGTGACCGTGAACTGAGAGCAAAACAATACCAACAAATATACCAAAAATTAAATCTTTTATATAGCAGAGTGTCATTTGCTGTAAATCAGTATATAATATCGAACGCTTGTTGTTGTTCAGAGTATTTTTTAACCACAGATGGACACAGAAGAAAATCAGAATCGACTAAAATGTTATAGGATATACAGTATAATGAAAAGGTTTATTTGTGAGGGTCGAGCGGTATATTTGATTGATAAATTCGCGGTCACACTGGTCAAGTCGAAAAATAAATAAATATAAAAACCACATTTTGTAAACAAATTCTCGTTAGAGTCCTGTGCATGATCAGCAAAAACCCCCTAGCACTTTTCCTGCTATGCAGTAAGACGTTCTGCGAGAAAAATGAACTCGCAGCCTAAGAGGAAATCGTTTCCCTTCAATCCCCCGGAACCAGGAGTCGTGATGCATTTTGGCTTCAATGCAAACACAAATTTTCACACTGAGACTGAGTGCAGCAAGTGGCCGCAGCACAAACGCAAGTCCGAGCAACAGGCGTCGGCGTCAGTGCTGTGAGTATCCGTATCCGTGTCCATAACTCCAATCGCCGACAAATTTGATCGAGAATCTTCTTTTTACAGCCCACCGAAAATGCTGATTACGGAGGAGCGGATCACACAGCACTTCAGTGGATTGCAGATTTCGGGCGACGCGAAGGGCGTCGTCGGCAATGGTAATGGTCTGGGCAACAATAACTGTGCCTCAATCGTGACAGGTGGCCTGGCCACCGACGATATACCCTCCACCTCCACGGGCAAAACGCATCATCACCCGAATCCAGCGTATCAGATGGCGGCCATGGAACTGGAGCAAAAGCTGCGAAATGCCAACCGAATTGTAATCTGTGACGAACTGAAACCGGGATCTGTTCCGGGCCCCCTGGCACCTGGTGTCATACCTCGCGAGTGGCTCATCAAATCGGTTCCCCGTCCCTGCACAGCCCTGGTCCCATGGCAGCCATCTCCCCTCCAAATGCCCATGCCAGTGCCCAAGCTGCCGCCACCGCCGCACCCGATGAACCTGCTGGCCCCGACATTGCCCGTCCCTGGAGAGGAACTCGACGACTACGACGATGATTTGGAGTTCTTCGAGAACAACAATACTTGCAATGTGAATTTAAACAAGTCTGATGAGCACATGGATGAGGATCTGTAGCCATAGCTGGAAGCCTAAATGTAACCGTGTAGATCTGAATGTCCGTAAGTCAGCACACAGGAGGGTTTTATCGCGTATAAAGAATTCTACTCGACTCTTTTTGCTCACACACTTGCAGAGGAACTCCCGGTCTGTAATAGTATCAAGCGCCTCGGCCCCCGATGACAATGATATAGCCCTCTTTCATGTCACTCTTCAACTATTTTGTATTACTATTTAAAATAGATGTATGTGATTTTATCTACATAGCTGGAGATATCAGTGGCAGTCAGTGAATTTGTGCTTCTGTTCGAATAAAGTAAAGGAATTATAAATGGTAGTAAAAGTGGTTTTATTTCTAATTGGTGCGATCTTTTATTTCTTTATTGCCCTCTCGAGAAGAATTTCCATAGTTCAAGAACAAACAAACAGATTAACTTTCAATCATCATAAAATGCAGATGTTGTTTTATGGTCCTGCCTGCGTTGTGGATATTTATTTCAAATCAGGCGCGAACGCGATTGTTCCAGACCCTTCCAGGTATTTCCTAGCTGGTACAGGTATATCAAATGGGTAAGAGGGGGACAGCTATATAAGCTGTGCAGCTTATCGCACAAAAGTACCGATAATTTGTTGAGCTAACCCTCGCATCGATAAATATAATTAAAAGTAATAAAAAGAAAGATTTAAAGTGGGAAAATAAAAAAAATTGTGTCAATTTGACGTTATATCTTTTAATAATTTCAATATTTGGTTATAAAATGTTGTTATGTTATAAAATATTTTTTAGGGGAATATTTTGACGTCATCTCACGGAGGATGAAAAAGGGGGTAGTTTTTGCATACCTGGAAGGAATTTGTATGACGTAAATACATACCTGTTTCGGACACCTTAGTTTTCTTCGCTCCATGAAAGCTTCCTTGCTTTGTTAAGGGAGTTTTGAAAGCTCTTTTCCTTTGCGAAGGGAGTTTGAACAGCTAATGAGAACAACTAAATATAAAATAGAATATATTCATATTTGACTATAGACAATATACGGTATTGATTTATTTATTTTAAATTAAGAATGAACTGCTAATTATGGAATATGCCATTTTTCAATATTATTAGTTAATATGCATGTCTCTCTTAATAATTTACATACATTTACATACTGAAGAAAAAGCCCACGGCTTCCTGAGGGGGTGCTATGAATGAAAAATTCAAATAAAAATTCGTTTCATAGAAGATCCTAAGGTATACAATCCAATAAAAATGAGTATTTATAATAAGCAAAATTGATTCTTCAATCCGATTAAATTATTGTTTCAGTGTTAAAATTACTTGCAAGCTGGAAATATTAAATAGAACATCAAAATCGTTCAATGCTATTTAAGACTGCGGTATATTTACAGTATATTTTATCGACAAATCGGCGGTCACACTGGTTTAATTTGCCTACGGTCACACCAAGCACGATTCAATAAATACGAACATTTTTGAAAATTTAAAATAGTCATGGTTGGAAAATTTGAACGAGCGTACCGATGCGCCAAGAATCGAAGAAGATAAAGTTAAATATTGATTAAAATTTCTGCTAAAAAATATATATATGTAATTATATATTGTAAATGTGTTTAATTTAAGTGATATAAATCAAATATATATGTGTAACGTTTAATATTTTAATACGCGTCAAAGTACAACGAGTGTAGCTAACCGCACACACACACAAAGAAAAACGGGGTACTTTGCGAGCAAAAATAAAAAACAAGCACACAAAAAAATTGTAAAACTAAAGAACGCTGCGTAATAGACGGTGGTGTACATAACAGAGTTTAACAAAAATCCGAATCAGTTGAAAGTGTGATTTTTTTGAGCCTTTGTCTGTAAGTGAAGAGAAAGCTTTAAGCGGAATTACATATAAATAAATACGAAGCCAGCCCGTCGCCATTTTGAAAGTGATTTTACAATACATACACAAAAACACAAACACCCACACATCCAGCGAAAAAGCCCCCTCATCAAAATCTGAGAAAATCAACACAACAAAACCAACATTTCCGTAACATTTTAATGTGAACCAAACAAACAAAATCAAGGCAAATTTTAATCCAAAAAACAAAAACTCAAAACCATTTTGTAAAACGGAAATCTGTATAGCAAAAGTGGCTAAGAAAAACCCCGCAGCCTGCAGAGCAAGCAAATCGATAGCTGCGACACACACGTATACATACATATGTATACTATACAGTGAAACCCGTAGTGGAGCAAGCGAGATAGCCCTAGCAGCATCAGCACATTCGTGTGAAGAGGAGGTCTACAGCAGAAAAAGTAAGTCGCAATTGTATGGGTTATCGGTATGAGTGCGAGTGAGAGTGTATGCATGAGCGCGCTCATGTGTGTACGTGTGTGTGTTGATTCATTAATTCAGGTATTTTTCGTATGGTTTTGACGTCCTCAGACATATTTTGTGGGCTGGGGAGGGGAAAATATATATACATAACTTATCAAATACGTACGTTTGTAGCTTTTTTTGACGTAAATGGCACACACACACAGTCATTTTTATAAAGATTACGATGTTGACAGTTCCTCCTACAGGTTGCCTTCTCCAATGGGGAAATGATTCCCATTATTCCATTCCTCCTATACATATATTTTTTTCGTTTGCTTAAAATCTCGTTCGCTTTTATTTCATTTTTCCCAATAATAGGACCAATCCCGAACCAGCAGCAGCAGCAGCAGCATCAGGCGCAAAAGCGGTGGAAATACATTTTTCGTAAAAAGAGTTTGCAAAATTAGAGCTAAGAATTAGCTTACACAGAATAACAGAGATAATTCAACAGACTGATAAAAATACATAACGTTACAAAAGTTAAACTACATAAAAGTAAATAACAGAGAATTGTACATAAGAAAAACGAGACGCAAACCGGACGGAGCATAGCGCCTACGTGCCCAGCCGCCCGTTGCTCGCCCTAGATCGATTGGAGATCGAGAGAGAAGAGTGGAGAGACAGAGGGAGAAGCAGCAGTCAGAGAGTAATCAACAACAACAACCAAAGACCCAAAGAAGCAGCTGAAAATATCAACAATTACAACACGTGGCATTTGTTTAAGAGAGCAAGAGGCCCCCACTCCCCGAGTTTGGTTTCGATTTATAAAGAATATAAATTGATTTAAGTGCGTGTGATATTTAACGTTAAGCATTAATTTAGCGAAATAACCAAAAACAAAAAAAAAGGCAAAACAGCAGAAATTTTAAAGAGGAAAGAGAAGAGAGAAATATAAGTAGAGGAAAGAACGCGCTTGGTACAGCTCTCAAATAAAGAAAAGAAACGAGAAGAAGAGAAGAGAAGCTAAGATCAGTTCAAGGAAGATAAAACGACGGAATTACTATGACATACTCGCACAATAGCGTTAGGAACAACATCAGAATGACAACAGCATCGGCCACCAAGGCCATACGATTGAAAAAGGGCGCCGCAGGATCTGCTGCGTCCCCATCCGCATCCGCAACCCCATCACCAACATCCACCGCATCCGCACCCACAACACCCTTGGTAACTGCACATTCCAACAGTATTGCCAGCAGTACAAATATCAATAGCCACTTCCATCAGCAATCCCTGAGCGCTGCCGCATCCCCCACAACCTGTTCCGGCCTTGGCCTGTCCGCCCTGACCACCAGCAGCACTACCACAACTCCCAACAGCCGCCAGCAGCGGCA